AAAAAGAAAATTAATAATAATTTAAAATTAAAAAGGGAGATTATGAAAGTTTATTTTAAATAAATTGACAATTTTTAATTTAATTTTATAATTGTACTTTTTCTGTACTTTGATGGTTACTCAATAAAATTAAACTTGCTAGAGGCAGGATCGAATGAGGTATACTGATAATGAGATATACCTTAAATAAAAGGTACCTTAGACAGCTTCTCATATTCAGTGACCTTCAGACTTCAAAGCATGTATGTATTTTAAATAAGGTGTATCTATTTTGTTCGGAAATACATATTTTCAACAACGAAGAATGTTGTTTTTAGAAAAGAATTTATTAAAAAAATTCTTAGAAGTAAAAATAAAATATTTTTAAATTTTAAGATGGCAAAAATGATGGAGAATTTTGGAATACAAAATTAATTAAATGTTGCTATACACAAATTTTATTTAATTTTCAATATTCTTTTGTTTTCTAAAAATAATTACTAAATATTATTTTTGTTTTATGAAAAATATTTTTTTTGAAATTTTTCTAAAAATAAAGAAATCTGTTTTTGTTTAAAATTTTATTTTTTAAAAATCATCTCTCTTTATTTATTTCTATTTTTGTATTTTTATCCTTTATCCATTTAAAAATTCCTTTGTTTCACCCCTTTTATTCTATTTTTATCTTTATTTCAAACAAATTTCACAATACTTTCTATTTTTTTGTTTTTTAAATCAAAATTCTTGTCAAATAAAAATGAAGAGAAAAATTAATTTTTAATTAGTTTCCACAAAAATTTTAATTTAAATTAATTAAAATGACTCAGATTCCCCTGAAATTCTCGATTTTAATTATTTTTCTAATTTTAAATTCATTTTCCCTTGTATTTGGCTCTTTTAATGTTCTCGACGGGCAACCTTCTGAATTACTTGCGTTTGCCCAAGTCCCGCCAATTTTGCCCCAAAATTCACAAAAATCCCCCAATCTCCAAACAAATAAACAATTAAATAACGAGAATCCTTTAATTTCCGAAAATTCTGAGGGTAATGAAAGGCAATTTGTCCCGTTGGTAGTAAATGGACACCGACTGAATAATAATCCAACAAATCCAATTTTTGTTAGAGTTGTTCCAAATAATCAGTCAAAAGTTAATGAAATTGGAAAACAGGACGACGATCAACGAACAAATATGTAAAAATTAATAATTTATTTTTTTATCAAAAAATAGAATAATAAATAAAATCGTATAAATTGAATTGTTGGAAGGGGTTTTGAACTTGCGATTGTATGAATTTTAGATGATTTTTTTCGGGCTTCAATTTTATCAAGTCGGGCATCGAGACTTTTTCGGGCCAAATATCTTAGGCCCGACTCGTTCTTTCGGTCCGAGTCGGGCCATTTTGGCAACCCCAACCATAATAGATTTGGGAATTTATGGGTAAATATAACGAAAACCAACTAATTAAAATTACTAAAGATTGGTAGAAACTTGGAAGTTATCAAATCAATCAAATTCCTAATTTAAAGAAAAAATTATAATAATACATTTTTAAGCAAATTTGCACCAAATGGGGATGAAATAAAAGAAAAAATAAATTTTGAAAAGAAAAAAGAAGAAAGTACTAATCCGTTTTCAAGTCTTGGGTCATCAACTATTGAAGCTAAACCTTCATTTAACACAAAACAGGAAAAACAACTTCAAGGGAAAAATGAAGAAAAAAGGAAAAATGCTAACTTGAATAAGCCTTTTATTATTAAAAATGAAGAAAATAAATTGGAAGAGAAGAAAAGGGAGAAAAAAGAAGAGGGAAATAGTAACAATAAATTAATTAAAGAGGGAAAAGATGACAGAGAAAAATCGGAAATTCCGGAAGAGATTAAAAGAGAGAACAATAAAAGAGAAGAGGACAACAAGGGAAATAAAAACAAAGAAGAACAAAACTTTCCGGAAAAACTTTATATAAAAAGGAATGAAAAAAGAGGAGAAAATAAAGAAAAGAATGAGGGAAATGATTTATTAATTGAAACTTGGAGGAATGAAATCCCGCTTGAGGGTGTTAAAAATTGGAACAAGTAAGCGGTTTATAGTAGAGGTCGGCGCGGGATGGGACCCTTCGCGCAATTTTGCTAAATACCGCTCCCTCAATCCCGCACTTTTTTTCGATTTGCGGGGTTTTGTGGGAGTGCGGGATTTGCGGGATTATTCCCGCGGATCCCGTTCCGCAGTCGTTTTTAGAAGTTACTCCAGCATGCGGGATCTCTCTCTAGTTTTTAGAAAATAAATTTTCGATTTCAATAACAATTTTAAAACCTTCTAGAGAAAACGAGGTCGACAAAAACTATTTAAAGACCAACAAATTTACTCCATGGAATGAATTGTCTTTATTTCCTATATTGCTGCAAACAGCTTTTGAAGAGTTCAAAATCGTTTCCAGGGAAGCAGAAAGGAAGGTAAATAAATAAATATTTTCAAATCAAAAAATTTTTTTATTATTTCAAGGCTTTGGAGAAAGAAAGACAGCAAAATAATTTTTTAAAATTTAAACTAAAAAGAAACTATAAAAACAGAAAGGAAAGCAACAAAGAGGGATTAAATAAGGAGGAAAATGAGTGTGTAGATTTGGCAGAAAATTGTTTAGAAAATAATATATTTTGTGGAATAAAGCCTTATCAGGAATTAATGAAAGAAAATTGTGACTGTACTTGTAAAATTTATTTAAATAAAAAGAAGGAAGAAAAAATTAAAAGTGGAGAAAATGAGGAAGAAACTGGGAGTAGTGAAGAAGAAGCAAGTAGTGAAGGGGAAAACAGTGTAGAAGAAAGTAGTTTAGAAGAGGCGAAAGAGAGTGAAGATGATAAAGATATAATCAAGAAAAGTGAATGTAGCGATAAAAGCTTTCGGTAAAAGAATATTTTTATTAATTGAAAAATTGTGTAGGCGTGCGCGGTCATAACGGCGCAAAGCCATAACTTGTTGGAAAATTTCTGGCCCTTATCAATTTTAGTACCAATCTCTTTAGCTGATGAGAGGAAATACTAAATTTGGTAAGATTCGGAAATCTTGGAGCAAGCTATGGCTTTGCGTCGTTATAGCCGCGCGCCTACGTAGGCGGTACCCTGAATTTTATCATGCAATTTTTAAATATAATTTTTAAAATCAGATGTGGACGTTGGGCCAAACGCGGATTTTGTGAGAATCGTCTATTCAATAATGATTTAAAGAAACGTATTTGTGCTAATTCATGCAATCTTTGTTAAAATTTTGATTAATCGAAATAAAAATATTTTTTATTAAAATCTGTAACAAGGCAGTGACTAGAATCTGCTAATATCAATTTTAAAAATAGGTAAATATAGGTACTTCACTTCCTCTTTCTTCATCTACAAATATTTCAGAATTTTTTTGTTCCGTGCAACTCTCACTCACAGATTTATCCCCTTGAAGACGATTTTGTACTCTTCCAACATTATTCTCAAGTTCAATTACTCTCTCAGATAATTCATTTTCTTCTAAAAAAGAGAGGAAATTATTCACAATTAAAATTCCCCTTACGTGTAAGCAGTTCAATTTGCTTCTTCTGCCTTCGGATCCGACTTTTTAAAGCAGCATTTTCATCCCTAATACCTTCCAATTCAGACTGAGCAGTTCGGTATTGAGCTTCCCATGTCTCTCCTATAGCAGATTGTGTACGCTGTAGTCTTTCCATGTGAGCCAATTGTGATTGGGTTTTATCTTAGTAAATTATTCAAAATACTTAAACTTTAGTCTTAGTATAGGGATTTAGTTTAATTTATTATTTAATTTATTATTAAATTAGTCTTCAGTATACGGACTATCGAGAAATGCCCATTAAATATATCTAATTTTCCCTATACATTTCAAGTGGGTATTAAAAATGAAAATTCGTTGGAAGTCTAGAAATTTTCAAAAAAAAAAATTCAAGATTTTATAAGAGCCCAATTATTGTTTTTTTAAACTCAGGGTGCCCCTAAGAATGCATTTTAGAAAAACCAACCCAATTGTGATTCAGATTCAGTCAGTCTTTCAAGTAATTGTTCTTGACTTCGTTGGGCATTGACAAATTGGCGAATGCGTGATTCGTACTAATGAAAAGAAATTAAATTTTTTTTTCTGTTATTTTTCCCAACCTCATAAACCAACTTTTCCATTTTTTCTGAATTTCTTTTCCTAACAAAATTTAAAATTTTTTCAAAAATTTTTTTATTTTCTCTTATACTTTTCTAAGGCCATTTCTGCCTCATTTTCTTCTTTTAACTCTTCAATTTTTTGTTTTAAAATAATAAAATCGTTGGATTGTTTTCTTGACTCAAATTGAGAGGTTTGGAAATGCTCCTCTTCCTCTTTAAGTTTTTTGCCCATTTGTTCAAGTTCTGAGGTAAGTTGACGGCATTGTTTGGTCAATGAATCCCGTGACTGTACAAATGAAATGTTAACATTTACCAATATTTGATTACCCTTTCAGATTCTTGTAAGGACTGTTTATAAACATCCAATTCTCTCCTTGCTAATTGTGTATCTTGTTTAGCTGTTTGTATTTCCCTTTCTTTTTCAAGTAAACGTCTTTCGGCACCTTCTAATCGCTGAGAAAGACTTTGCATATAATTAGTGCCTGAAGGATTATTTGTGTTAGCAACACATCCAGAAACGGTAGATGCAGCTGAGGGGCTACGTGAAAGAAGGCCCGAGTCAATTGTTGCAGTTAATGAAGTTATCTATGAAAAATAAAGAGAAATTAGGCAATTTGATCTAGACTGGCTCTATTTTAAAAAGTTCATACTTGACTTTAATAAAACAAATGCTTGTTTATAACAACCAGTTAACAATCCAGCTTTTAAGGGGGAAGCGCGAACGCTGTCCCCCACACTCAAAAATTTAGCTGTGGGCCTACCCCAGTTCGGAGCCGCCCTGCGGGTCAACCTCGCCCTTAAGTGCAATGGGGAAGTCTCACCACAGACGCCATGCCTTCGTGATCGCATGAGCGCCCCAGCCAGGTAAGTTTCAGAGAGGACAAATACCCATCATCTATTAAATATTTATAAGAGTAAAATGTCAGTTTGTGAGAAACGCAGTTTTGGAAAGGAAAAATGAGTACTCCCTCGCAATATTCTCTCATCTTTCACTAAAATTTTATTTCTATATTTATTTTCCTTTTTATTTCTAACTTTAACTCTATTTTCTTTCTCTAGTTAGACAGAAAATTACTGAAAGTGGACTGAGAAAAAAGCCCCTTTGGATAAGCAAAGAATATTTTTTTAGGTTTTTGTGCAAACCATTGCAGCAGAATTAGCAACCGCTGCCCTACGTAGAGAAGAAGAGGTTGAAGAAACAGAAGAAGACAAATTTCCCATTGAAGAGGTTCTCGATCCCGAACGTCGAAGTAAATTAGATTCAAACAAAGAAGTAGTTGTTGCTGAATGTGTTGATTCTGACAAAGCATTATTTGTTTCATAACGTTTATAACGACGACTTAAGCTTCCAGAATATAGAGAGGAAGAACATGTAGAGGAAACTGTAGCTGACATTAATGTAGTATTTCTTGAGGAATAAGACGGGCGAAATAGTCCTTAAAATAAATTTTGGAAAAATGCTAAAGAAATTGGAATTAAATTGGAATCTCTGGAACTCTAAGACACTACTCTCAAAGGAATTCATTTAAATGGAACTCATTTTAATCTTGTCCAGCTTTTATCCTTTCAATAATTTAAAGAGCAACCGTCAGTAACTGTAGTAGCAAGTGAAATAATTGACAGCCCCTCACTCGCCTCTAATAAATAGGCCGTTAGGAAATTATCGAAAAATGGAGGTTTATAAGAAACAAAACTACAGATGGACCTTACAAAAATTTTAGTTATCAAGAATCAAAACCTTCGAGATATCTACTTCGTCTTTCAAGTTTACAGGGTGACAAGAAATGTTTAGGACAAAATTAATTTTGCCATAACTTTTTTTCTCATATACATTTTTGCAATTCCTGCAATGTATTCTAATGTTATTGGCAAAAAGTCTCAAAAAAAGTTGCGACCAGGACAATAATTTTTCTCACTTTCCTTTAACCTTATCTCAAAGTAGAATAGGGAAAATTCTAAAAGATTTTTATATTTTATTCTCCATTTAGTTCTCTATAATTTCATCTTTATTTGATCTCATTATCTTTAGTTTGGTTAAAGTTATGGCATAAATAGTTTGTCCTAAACATTTCTTGTCACCCTGTAGTTATCTCAATTATCTCTTAAATAGATTCTTCAATAAATGAAAAAGGCACCCTCGCCTAATAAGAATAATATAAAAAATAATTAAATTCATTCACCTCCTCCAACAATCCCAACATCAGAATCAACACTAGAATCTCTCAAATCCCTTTCTTGTGTAGCCTGTAAACTCCCAAAACGGCCAGTTGCACTCCTTAAATTTCCACTATTATTTCTTTCCAAAGTTTTTTCTTTAATTTCCGCAGCTTCCAATTTTCCTTTTAATTGGGCATTTTCTGTTTCTAAACGAAGCCCTTTTCTTCTCCAATCATCCAATTGTTGTTGTAATTCTGTTTGGATACGTTTATGGGCTTTTTTAAGTTCACAAACACATTCATCCATTTCTGCCTGTTTATCTTCTAATTTTCTTTCTAATTTTTTTGTTTGAACTTCACGGACACGTAATTGTTCTTTCTATTTGAATAAAAATTTTTTTAATGGATATTTGATAGTATTTTTAAATATTTCTATTGTTCTTGCATCCTTTCCGGTCAAGCTTTAAGTGAAACTTGCAACTATATTTAGGTTATCAAAGTTTATCCCTTTAAGCCAGACTTGGTCGGGGTTTCTGAAGGTTAGGAAACAACAAAAGCTTATCATGATTGCCCTTCTCTATTAACTTTAAGTACCCACTATGTATCGACATAAAAAATGAATTCTTGATTTTGGAAACGAGCTAAATTATAATTCCCGATTTTAGGATCAGGGATTCCAGGTCCGAAAAACATCGAGCTTCCCGATTTCCCGATCACTATCCCCGGTATCACTATGGTGTTGAATTGGAAAAATAATTATCAAGGATGATTAATGGGTTCAGGACAACCAAAAGATGCATATTCACTCACCATAGCATCTCTTTTCCCATTAACTTTATCCAATTCTTCCCCCATTTTATTTAATTCTTGACTTAAATCATCAGCTAAATTATCAGCTCTTCTTCTTGCCAATTTCTCAGAATGTAATAAAGGTTGTAATTCATTTAATTTTTCATTAGCCTCAAAAATAGAATTATTTAAATCCCCAATTTGTATTAAATTTTCGTTAATTAATTCTTTTTGTTCGTGTATTTGTTCATCTCTTAAATTAATTTCTGAACGTAAACGGCTTATTTCTGTTAACATTTCTGTTGCTTCTACACGCAATTTTGAACTTTCTTCCTGTGAACTATTTAATGATTGTTCTACTGATAGACGTTCCAAACATTCAAGACGATAATTTTCTTTTAACTGGTAAAATGATTAAATAAATAAACGAACTTCCCTTCACATGTCGAGTAAATTAGGTTATGAGGCGATGTCCTAGTGTGATTTGACTCCCTTCAAATAACACCTCCCTTCACCTCGGCTCATTTCGGTCCCGAAGGCAATGTTTTAGAGAAACTCGACTTTATTTAAAAATGCTTATAAAGCTCTTGAGTTTTGCTAAATTTATACGAAAGAAGTTTATGACAGGAACCTGAAGTTCCGACTCCAGTTCCGGAAAGTTCCTGCGATTTTTGGTTTTGGTTTCGGAATCCGGAACTCAAATTGAATCCGGTTTCAAATTTTCGATCCGCTGAAACACTAATTAATAGACTCTTAGTCCAACTTTATATGTATTACTTCAAATAAGCAAAGGATTAATAGCCGTTGATCAGGGATGTCCAGCCGATTAAAAAAAAGAAGACGGAGCTTATTAAATATTTTCCTTAAATTAAAAGTTACCATTTCATTTTCTTTATTTAATCCATTTCTTTCCTCCTCCAATCTTTCAATAGCTTTAGTTTGTTCCCCTAAAGTGTTATTTAATCTCATAACTTTTAAATGTTGTTCATCCCATTTTCTTTCCATTCTTTCCAATAATTCTTCATTTAAATGTAATTCTGAACGTAATTCTTGAGTTTTTGAGAGTTCATCTTCTCTGGATTTTTCTGATTTTTCTAAGCGTTCGCTTAAAAAACACTTTTTTTTTACAAAATTTTTAACCTTTGTGTTTATTAATTTATAGAGTATATAGTATAAGGGCGAGGGTGTACCTTCAATTTTCGCTTTTTAAAACCAGTTTCGGTGCCTTTATGATACAGATATCCAAATAAATCTGAAGCTGTTTTTGGGTTCTCTGAGAACGTAAAGTCAGTCATACAATTAAGGTTTTCTATACTCTCGGAATCATCTCTATTATTATTGTTTGTAGATTCTCTTTAAATATGACATAAGGGGACTAGGGCGTATCGTTAAGACGTCGCCCCACAGTTCTTATTGAAGTTCGCCAAAGGCGAACCGTGATCTGTGGTTTCAGGGTTTCAGAATAATTGTTGGGAATAATTGCCCAATTCCAACAACCTTGGTATAACTAACAATGAGTTTAGCTCTTGCAATTTAAAAATTATTCTCCCACCTAAATTCACTCAAATCTCTTTTTGTCTTTTGCAATTTTTCATTACTTTCTTCAAGTTTTCTATTAAGTTCATTGTTTTCTGCCAACAATTCATTCAATCTCCGTTTATCCAAAACGAGAGGAATTAATTGAAATACTTTTTGATAAAGTCTATACCAAGGCCAAGATTTTAGTTGAATATAGTAACGAAGTGATTGTTGAATTGTTAATAATGATTCCCTTTAAAATGAAATTTTTTTAAGCCTCGAATGATCAGTAATTCAAAGGTTTCTGGTCCTATTTTTAAAAAGTCCATGCTCTAAAAACTAAATTTCTGGTCTCGACAATGGAGGCTTTTATGATTTCGATATTAATTAATACAAACTAACCATTCATCCCTCCTCCGTTTCAATTCAATTTGTGCCCAATACCAACGAATATAAGCTTGTAAATCAGTTAAAGTTTGGCTTAGTTTGTTTCGTCTACGAGATTCTAATTCAGAAAGAAGTCCAACTCGACAAAATAATCGTGTTCTTCCAATCTTTTTAAATAATTTTAGAGATTATATAACGTTACGTTATCACAAAATTTTTTAAAAATATTTCGTGTAATTAGGGATATTTTAAACACCTGAAATCGTTTCTCGTCAAGTTCCAAGTCCTCACATAAATTTCCAACCAAAATTCTAGGATCTTCATTTAATAATTTTTTCTGTTGATATTCTTGGCTTTTAAATGAAAGAATTCGATATCGAGAGATAAATTCTTCAAAGCGAACTCGATTTGGGTAACCTCTTTGACATATTCTTATACCTTCCAATACACCATTACACCTTTAATTGAATTATGTAAATTAGAACAAAGTAAAAGCTTTTAAATAATTTTGGAACGGGTTCTGGAAGAGGACTATTAAATATATCAAAAGCTCTTTAAAGCATAGTTAGGAATTAAGAATTAATATAGTTTTGCATAGTGTTGGCTGATCTTTGGACATCTTCACATATCCGGATACAGCAAGTCTAATAAATAGACTTTCCTTTTTAACTTTGATAAATGATTTTCACTCTGTGCTAAAGGAGAGTTTATGATCTAGTGTAGGGTTGCCGTTTTCGGTTCGAGCCGACGTTTGAGCTTTGGTTTTGGCTTGGTTCTCGAGCTGGCAACCCTAATCTAGTGTATTAAAAATATACCTTAATTGATGCATTGCTAGAGGTCCGTTCAACTAAAATTTTGGAAAAAGTTTACACGTTTAAGGACAAAAATTTTATTAAGTTAAATTTAGCTATTATGGCAAAATTCCTTTTTGAATTTTTATTCAAAAATCCAACAAAAGTACCTGAAAGGGTATTCTTTGATGATTAGGCACAATACATCTAATAAAATGTGCCCTAGTTTGTTTAATAGTCTCAAGTAATTTATTTAATTGTTCTCTATAAACAAAGCTAATGCTTGCTTGTGCCATTGCTGGGCCTTTTCTTTTTGAATAAATTAATTGAGAATTGGTAAAAAGTTGGAAAATTAAAGGATGTTGGGAATTGGCCAGAACTTGTAAAATATTTGAATCGACAGAATCCCGATTTTTTTCTAGCCATCCATCGACATTGTAAATTACAGAACCAGCATAATGACAAATTGTGAAATGACCGGAATTTAATGTTCTGTTTAAATTTTAAAAAATATGTAAAAGAGGGGAAAATGAAGATGTTACCGAGATGTCTGTTTTGCTTTGGAAAACACAGATGGAGCTGTATGAGACAATCTTTGAAACATTTTCTCTAAAAGCGAAAGTTCTGAACCATTAGGCACAATACATTCTTCTTGTAATAATGAAAGTATTCCCAAAGGCTGAACAGAAAAAATTTATAAAGTGAATGCATAGAATATGTAGGGTAGTTGAAGAACGAAAATTTCAATTTTTGCTATTAGTTAAACTGAGATTTAATAAAATGTTAAAACTGAATTTGAGCCATTAATTAAATTTAATTGACAACATATAATTTTTTATTTTTCCATACCTTCTCAATCAAGTCAATTGTAGGTTGGAGATCATCTCCATAAGATTGCTCTGTCCATTGAATACCTTCACGAGTATATTCTTGCTGTTCTCGAACAAACAAAAAATCATTAAAAAATTGTTGTAAACGTTCATTTGTGAAGTTTATACTTGAATAATTTAATTAAAAAAATTTTTTTAGAAAACTTTTTAGTAATTTTTTTTGAAAATAGAAAAATTTAAATAAAATTTTCTGGTCTATTTTAGTCTTGGGCCCCATTAAAAGATGCGCCTAATAACAAATAAACATGAATTTCATCTCAATTTTATCTCACATTCAAGTGTAATTTTAATCAAGTTCTTTAAAAATTACCAAAGCTGTTCAAACGAATTTCTTTCCATAATTTCAAATCCAGCCATATCCAAAACACCAATAAATTTATTATTTTTCATTTCTTTATTTTCATTTTCCTCATTATTATTTATCCCAATAGCTTTATTACATTTTGCTAATATCCAATTAAATACTCTTTCGTATAAACATTTAGCTAAAGCTTGCGCAGATGCTTGTGTTTTACGTAAAGGTTGGCTCCTTTAAAATAATATGGGTATTAATGATTATGGTAAAGGGAAATAATTTTGGAGTAAAGGAAACTTGACAAAAAGTCTCTCCCTGGAACATAAACCTTCCTATATACTATAGAGCAGAGGTGGGTCGGAATTCTGATTTCCGGCGTTTTTACCTTCCGATTTCCGAAAAAAATTTTGATTTCCGAGTTCCGACTTTTGAGCCAGTTCCGATTTCCGGATCTTCCGATTTCCGACACCTCTGACTGTTCCGACCGACCTCTGCTATAGAGAAGCTCACCAAAGTTAACCATTGACTAAGGCTAATATTTTATTTGTTCCCTTAATCTTCCTTCTCCTTCCCTCATAATAACCCACCTTTTAATAAAAACATCTCCAACTTTAATACTTGGTTGAGTTAAAGCATCCACAAGGTGAGACGAATGGCTAAGTCCAAGTAATTCACTAACAGCCTCAATCTCCAACATTTCCTCTACATAACTCATATCGAGCCCCGAACGTTCTCCAAAACGTATTTGGCCAATTAAAATACAGGCAAACATTAATTCTCGAATCCAACTCTTTTCATTCAATGTAAATTCTAATTGATCAATTGCTTGCTGGAAATTTATCAGAAAAATTTTTGAGAGCGTTAGGTAAAGAATTGCCGGTGGGTTTAATTAATTATAACCGTTATTAAAAGGTAACACGTAGATGTGACCAAAACAAAAACTTTCGAAAACTAAAGACTAAAAGACTGTTTCCAGGACCGAGGCCTTGTTCAAGTCACTCAAGAACAAGGTGTCTTTAACTTGGACTTATGGAATTTGTTTATCATGCCACACCATTATCACTTCAATGAATAAGAACCCCACCTCAGTCTCACGTCCTCCTTCCAGATCATCAACAAATTTAGCATGCACACTCTTTTCGGCAATATTCCCTTGATTCAAAAATCTAAATAAATCAGCTTCGACTAAAGAATATCCAAATATTTTATTTGCGATTTTTTGAGCCTTATCAGATGCCAAAAACGAAGAATTTTTGAGAAGTCGATAGAAAATATGGAAATTCCTGTCTCCCGGATTCTGGCATACAACGCGAGATTTTTCCAATAAATCTTAAAAAATAATTTTATTTTTATTATTGCTTTTAGAGTAGAACCTCCCTTCTGGATAAACCCCGTCAGGGATGGGAGGGGTTACCGATCCGGAGAAAATTTTGAAACCCCGGCCCGATTTTATTTTCAACCGTCTCATGCCTAAAGGTTCATACTTCAATTTAAGATACATTTTTGAAGTTGGTTGGCACTTGGGAGCTATTAATCCGTTTAAGCGAAGTTCTTATCTATTTTCAACATAAGACAATTTTTTAGATAAAATTTTTAATTAATTAACATATTTTTACCCACAGCAATCGATGCATGCTGATCGTAGTCTGCCACCATTTTCAAACTCAAGTCTTATAAATTTCCCTAAACGGGAGCTATTATCATTATGTATTGTTTGAGCATTTCCAAAAGCTTCTAAAACAGTCCCTGCTGCTAATAGGGCAGAATCTATGCTTTTTCTTCCCTCGTTTAAATTTGGCGTTTTTTGTGAATAATTTCCAGAAACATTAATTAAATATTCAATTATTCTTCTTGTATTTTCTGTTTTGCCGGCACCGCTTTCTCCACTGAAAAGAAAAATATTGTGTAAAATTTATTAAATTTTATTTTAAAGATTTTACATATTTTATTTTTTGTGTTAGTATTGATGTATTATTAAAATTTTTCAAAATTCGGACCTCCTATGTCAGATTTTATAACAATTTATCTAATTTTGGATCCTCGCTTAGACAGCCCATTTAGTGACCTACCAAATTTTAAGAGACATCTTAATTTGAGAATATCTTAAGCGAAGTCCGATAGAACTTTTATTTAAAAACCCTTACGTTATCAATATAGATTGAGAGGTTACAACTGAAGGTGGAGAACATATTCCATCAAAAGCACTCTGGGCAACAAAAAATACATGAGGAGGTAATTCTGTTGAAGTTGTGCAGGCTTTGGCATAAATATTGCGCATTTCTTTTGAATAAAGACCTGGAAGATTTTTCCATGGATTTACAACAACGCAGAATAAACCAGAGAATGTCTTAAAATTTTAATTTTCTTAATATTTTGTGGAATTTTGGTTAACAGCTCTTCAAACGCTCGAAACAAACGGGTAGTTTAAAAAGCTGTTAATATATTATTTTAATTTTAAAAATTTTTACATGAATTAAATTTAATGAATATCGTCGTCTTATACATTCTAAAACAGAAGGTTCATTTAATTCGCTCAGTTGTGTCATATCCGAGCAGAGATGTGAAACACTTGTTTGTTGCAAACATTCTCGTGAAACAATGCAGATTTGCTGAAAATTATTCTTTTAAATCTCTTTGAAATTGGAAATTTTGCATTAAAAAATTTTTGAAAGTAATTTGAAAATAATGAAATTATGAAAAATTCGGAGTTAGTGAAATTGAAAAAATAAAATTCAAAAGGACAGAATGCGAGGTCGAGGGAGGGGGGGGGCGAAGGAGGCGATGAAAGATACTTGAAAATCGAAAATTTTTTTGATCAAGCCTTGAAATTAGTTGACAAAACTTTTATTTGGCCGATGTCTAGGTTAGTTTAGGGGGTCCCCAAAATATTTAAAAATCTAATTTAAAAAAGATGTTGATGCAAGATTTATTATTACGTTTTTTACACGTCTTTCAATTGGGTGCCGGAATTTTGGTCACCGGAATTCTGGTCACCACGCTTTTTCGGAACTTTGGTCACCAATTTTTTTGGAATTTTGGTCACCAGCGGAATTTTGGTCACCTGTCAAAAAACGGAATATTGGACACTGAAATTTTGGTCACCAAGAGGAATTTTGGTCACCAAACGGAAAAAAAGAATCTTATCTGAAACTGATATCAAAGTGATAAAAAATGATTTTTCATCCCCCAGTTGATCAATTTCAATGTTTATCACTTTGCTGGCTGATCACTCGCCCGTTGATCACTCTCGATCACTCTACCGGATGATTAATTAACTGGCAGAGTGATCAACATAGAAATTGATCAACTGTGAGTTGAAAAACAATATTTTTATCACTTTGATATCAGTTTTAGATAAGATACTTTTTTCCGTTTGGTGACCAAAATTCCTCTTGGTGACCAAAATTTCAGTGTCCAATATTCCGTTTTTTGACTTGGTGACCAAAATTCCGCTGGTGACCAAAATTCCAAAAAAATTGGTGACCAAAGTTCCGAAAAAGCGTGGTGACCAGAATTCCGGTGACCAAAATTCCGTACACCTTTCAATTCGCCATTTCTCGTAAAATATAATTTAGGTGCAATAATTTATTATTTTTTCTTACACCAATTTTACTATCATTTTTAGCAACTTAAAATATAATAATAAATATAATTTACAGAATAAACAAAAATAAATAAAAATATTTTAACAACAACAGCTGTTTATATTTTTTGCAGCCTTGTAATTAAATATATTTTTCTTTAAATTTTTTTGCACATTTTTTCGATTTTTTAGAAGGACAGAGAAAAGTTTAAATTAAAAAAATAGCAGATGGGTTCTATTTTGAATTGGGTTCGCTTAAAGCCACACAGTTTGCAAGTGAATGTGGAACGCTTTTTTAATATTTTTTGATGGAGAGAAATGAATTTTTTGAAAACAAAAAAATATTGCAAGAAAAGAATCTCCGACTAGAATATAAAATGCTTAGGAGTAAGGCTGGCGGATCCGGATCCGAAAAAAGCAGGATATCTAAAATTTTCGGTTCAGATCCAGATTCCGAAGATTTCCGAATATCCGCTAGCCTTATTTAGGAGGGGTAAAACGATTTACAATCTACTTATAAAGTAAAATAGAAAGCAAAAGTGTTCCATAAGTAGGAACCTGACTAAATTTTTAGTCGGTTTTATTTAAGACGAGGTTAATTTATCATTTAATTATTAATTTAAATTTTCTTCAAAATTTTTAAATTTATTTTTCACCTTTTTACAATCATCTCCGCAGTCTTTTGCTTCTTTTTCATTCCCCATTTCATTAATTATTTCAACCTCTATTTGTTGTTCACAAATTAATTTATTAGCATTTCCATCTATTTTACAAAGTCGAAAAGAATGTTCTTTATCTGGTATCCAAAAAGCATTGTTGCCTAATTGAAGGTTTAGAGCTGATTCACGTTCAAATTCATCTTGTGGGGCTTCGATTAGTCTTAAATTAGGATTTTTGAAAATTAAAAAATGTCATAAAATTAATATTTGCCTAATAATTCGAAAAATAATTTCAAAAACCCTCGTTATAATAGCATTATAAGGAACAATATTAGAAAAGTTAATCATTCTAATAGCTTTAGATAGTTTTTCTTGAATTTTGAAGGAAAAACTTTCATTTATGAAGTTATACCGCTATAACGGAAAATCTGTATATCGATATTAAATTAGGTAAAATTAAGAGTGGAGCGTCGAGGTTAAATAATTTGGTTGAGGTCCAACTCTAAGAAAAAATAAATTCAACTTTTTTAAAACAAATTTTAAAACAATCACCTCCGCAGCCCTTCATCTAACACCGCCTCTTCGACAGCCGATCGAGTTGATAAAATAGTAGAATTGTTGTTAACAGCTTCCTTCTTTTCATCACAATTCTCACTAATATTCAAATTCTTTTCAATTTCCCCCTCCTCCTCTTCACTATATTCTTCATAAATATATTCATATTCTTCCTCGTCAGTCATTTCCTCTTCCATCCCCACTTCATTTAATTCACCCTCCTCTACTTGACCCTCCTCTCCCTCATATTCTATCTCCCCTTCCATTTCATCCTCAAATTCTTGATCAGAATCTTCCATATTTTGAGCGGCAACAATGGATGCCAGATAACTCATTTTTTTACCAAAATAATTTTTTAATTAAAAAATAAAGAGGGAATGATTACATAATTAATAAATGAGTTTGTGTTTTTTTTGTTTTTATTGGTCAAAGATTTTTAGTAAAAATTTTTTGGATTTGATGAATTGGATAAAATAAATATATTTAAACAAATGAGCAAAAACAAAAAAGAAAGAAAATATCCGGAAGTGTATAAATTGGTAAAAAGTAAAAAGAGAGTGAGAGAAGATCAATTGATTAAAATTACGGGGAAAATTCCTTAAAAATTACTAATTTATTAATAAAAAATATTTTTAGGTTATTTTTTAATATTATTAAGGAATTTTGGCAAAAATTAAACTTCAATAAAAATCCTTAAAGTTATGGGGAAGTTTTTTAAGAATTATTTCGAAATACCTTATTTTCTTGAATAATTATCTTGGGTAACGTGTGGTAGGGTATTTGAGGAAGTGTAATAATTCTTTCAACTTTATTATAGTCGGAATAATTAATAAAAGGGGCGGGGGAATAATTATTCGAAAGAGGGTAATTAAATAAGAATATAAGGCAAGTCATTTGGCAAAAGAAGATATTCAAATTAAAAAATAATAAAATAATTTTTAAAATAATAATAATAGAAAATTTTTAAAATAAATTACTAAAAATAAAGAAAAAAAACCTTAAATAAAAATTAAAAAAAAAGTTTTTATCCACTACAACATTGTAAGGTGGGATTAGAAACATTTATTTTTTCATCAAATAATTCTTTTCACTTAAACTAAAGGTATTTGATTTGCTTTAGCACACAACTGCTGTTGACGTGCCCTAACCCTTTTTGTGGGACTACTACACGCCCTCTCGGTTATTGAGGATATATGGGTGGCCTTTATGTAAAAAAGCAAGTGCAGAATATATCATCTGCTTTTTTCTCATTAGGCAGAAACAAAAAAAACATTTTAAAAGTGGGTAGAAAATTTTTATTTTAAATTTAAAAAATAAAAACTCAATTACCCATTCAGTTAAAGTTACTCAATATAAAACGTAAACCGTTGATTTTGAGCTAAAACCAAATTTAAAAACCGGAAATAAAAATTAAAATCATTTTGTCTTTTCGGGTTTAATTTCGTAAATTCGCATAAAATTTTTAACATCTTAACTGAAAATAGTTTTTCAATTAAAAGAATTACACAACAACGACATTAGAGGATTATGTTGCCACATTTAATGTTATCGGTTTCAAACAGAACCGAAAATCCTCGGTTTTGTTTTGGTTAAACGAAAAATTTGGTGAAACCGTCAATCATGTTTTGTTTCTTAAATTACAATTTAATTGATCATTATCTAATTCTAATGAAGATTTAAAATGAAATTTTATCATGCAATAAATATTTAAATTTAATAAAATATGTATATAAATTTATTTAATATTTAATTTTAATGTTTTTGAAACTTTAAAAAATGCAAAATTGTTTTAATGCTTCATCAATACATATAATTTAATTGATTACATTACATTCTAAACCTTAATTTAATACATAAATTTAGTTGATGTATCAATTTTATTTTATTAATTTTTTAATGATCCATGCCAAATGAAGTTTTTTTGAAATAAATGATAGAATTATTATATTTTTATCTATTTAATACAAAGTTTATTTAATATTTAATTCAATTTTTTAGATAATTGAAAAAAATAATAAAATTTTAAAAATCATCAATCATTATTTTTATTAATTTAATAAACAATATAATCTAATAATCTATTTATTTTTAATTAAAAATAGTTGATATTCAAGATCTTTTGAAGCTAATATCTCCTGATTTTTTTTCAATTTAATAATTTAATACATCAATTTTAATTTTTATCTATTAAACAAATTTAATATTTTAATATATATGCATAAAAAACATTAATTTATTTAAATTTTAATTATAACTTTTTAACTAAATTTGTGAACTGGAACACACTCTATCATCACTTGTAGCTGATGATACATTCAACAAATTTGTATTTATTAAATTTAAATAATAATTAATCATATATTTAATATTAATAATCATAATATTTAATCAATCTATTTAATATCGATATTTATTTTTAATAATTCTCTATATTAAATTCTAATAATAACGAATATATTTAAATTTATTTAAATTAATTTAATACATAATTCATTTAATATTTTAATAACTAGCGGAGTTGGTCGGCCTTCGGCCGCCCCACCCCGCTAGCAAAAACAAAACAGACCAAAAAACAAACTCTAAATCAACTTATCACAACCTCAAAATTGGTCCTAATCCATCATAATCAGAAAAACACGATGATCATAACATTGACCAGCATTAAAACATTTCCTGATTACAAATACATTTAACAAAGCAAAGCATCTAATAGGTGCACCTGATAGGGTACACACAGGCGTCGTGTGACTCCGCTAGGATAATAAACAATTCAACTCAAGATCCGATTCAAAAGCCTTTGGCCGGCCCATCTCGCTTACACATTTTTTTCCTCACAATTCCGCCTGCTTCCCAATTCCCTCTGTTTCGATATTCCCCGGCTTCGCAATTCCCCTTGCCTCACAATACCGCCTGCTTCACATCATTCCCCTGTTTCAATATTCCTCCAGCACCACAATTCATCTTGTTTCAATATTCTGCCTCCTTACCAATTCCTCTTGCCTCTCACAATACCGCTTGCTTCACAATTCCCCTTGTTCAATATCCCGCCTGTTTCAATATTTCGCCTGCTTCACAATTCCCCTTGTTTCAATATTCCGCCTGCTTCACAACTCACCATGTTTCACAATTCCCCTTGTTCAATATTCCGCCTGCTTCACAACTCCCCCTGTTTCACAATTCCCCTTGTTCAATATTCCGCCTGCTTCACAATTCCTATTGTTTCAATATTCCGCCTGCATGAACTTTGCGCCTAGCACTTGACAAATGAACGTTGACGCCTGGCACTTGACAAATGAACGTTGACGTCTGGCACTTGACAAATGAACGTTGACGCCTGGCACTTCAAGTGACGTTGACGGCTAGCGCTTGACACATGAACGTTGACGTCTAACACTTGACAAATGAACGTTGACATCTAGCACTTGACAAATGTTTGTTGACGCCTAACTCAAGAGGACACAGGACTCCAGCAAACGTTAACGTAGAAGAGCACGGCACGGCAATGTTGAGAAGTGTTGAAAGCAGTTGAGGACTGACCAAAATACCCTGCTTTTATACTATATTCTTACCCTTACAACTCAATTCAACTGGCAACGCTTTACTATAAAAGCCCCCATTTCCTCACTCCCCCAAATCATTTTACTATAAAAACCCACTTGTCTATAAAAGGACAAACAGACAGACACACTCTTCTCAATTATATAATTAGATATAACAATATTTAAATTTATTTAAAATTTTATGTAATTTGATGCAGAAGAAACACTTCATCTATGTATTCATATTTTTATATATATTTTTAATTAAAAATATATTTATAGGCATTAAAAATCTTTTTATTTTTTGAATCACCAGATTCACATTTCCAAGGCCTTCACACGTAAATCTATCAAAATTTAATACATATGTATTTTACTTTAAAATTTTTAATAAGCTGGGATAATGAACAATCTGTCATTATGAGTTGCCACTAATTTTATCAATATCAAAATTAAATAAAAAATTAATATTATGTAAATTATTTAAATTTTATTAATGCTGCTCCCTTCACTATCTATTTATTAATCTGATCATTATTTTATTAACATATACATTAATATTAACAAATTATGTATTCGAAGCAATCAATTTATTTAAATATTTATTTGAAGAATTTTATTAATATTTACATATTTGAAGAATTTCTATTATTTTAATTTGTTTCACATCAACATGTCCAGTGTCTTTTTGCACTATCCCAATTAGGCGTTTTTGCTATCTTTTTTTTTAAATTTTTCTCATATTTCCTGTAAATATTTATTTTTATTAATTTAATTAACATCAATAATATATAAACTAATAATTTATTTATATTAAACAAATATACATATTTATATAAATTATATTTAAATAATTAAATATACATATTATAAATACCTATGTCATCGTACTTAGCTGATAAGATAGGGTTGATGGTCATTGTTTTTGACCTTATAATACAAGCATTTTATTAAATTAATTAAAATCTAACTAATATATAAATTTATTTACACAAAACTTTATTCAATATTTATTATCAATATAAAAATGTATAATTTATTTAATATTTAGATTTTTCTGCTTTGTAGCGGGGAACAAAATATCCACTTCTTCAGTGCTCTTTATCATTATGGATTTTAATTTTTAATTAAAGATAGTCATTAAAATTTGATTTTTGAATCTCCGTACTCATTTTTCCAAAGGCCACACATGTAAATTTATGTAACTCATATATTTTTAGTTCATCAATTTTTAGATTTATTAATTTATTAAATATGTATGTATGTAAATTATTTTAACTTAAAATTTTTAATTAAATGGCATAAATAAAACTTTGTCATCAACGGTAGAAGCTACTCTTTATTTTTAAATATTAAAATTAAAAACAAATTTAATAATCTAATTTATTGAAATTTACTTAGCATATAACTATACAATCATTCCATCTAATAATATATTATTTTATTTGAAATTTATAATTATTTAAGTGAGATTTTTATTTTCTTATATATCTTCAGTAGAATTTAACGATATTTTTATTATCGACGAAATCTTTATAATATTTACATGAAGTCTTAAATATTTAATTATGAAATATGTTGCTCGTTTTGCTGTATATTTTATAATCGTATAATTCATTCAAATACAAATACATTAATTAACAAATTAGGCATTTAAGCTATCAATTTATTTAAATATGGATTGGAAGATATAATCTATTTTAGTCAAAATTATTCATTATTAACAAGGTTGCCAGGTCGTCCTTTTGGAACTTTATGCTTTATATATTTGCAACCTTGGCAGTGGCTTGCATTTAAAAGATTGATGTATTGATTAATTTATTAGTTATAATCGATTAAATCAATTCTCTTTAATCTATTAAAACTAGGTTGCTAGGACGTCAAATCCTTCGCCGTATATAACGGATCCTGTTAGCAGTGGCTAGTACGAATTTCATTAAATTATATTCAAAATTTATTATATTAGGTAAATATTTAATTAATTTTTGGTTATTTTGATTGAATAATTTATTCAAAAAATTTGGAAATAATTATTAGACTAACGTTGTATTATCTCATCCGTTTTTATTTTTTATGTATTAACTTTATACCAATTCGCACATAATGCCCTCTAATTAAATTAATATAATTTTTAATTTCCTTCACTTCTAGAAATTTGATGAAAAATGCTTATTTTTATATTAAAAAAATAAAATCTTATTTACAGGATCTTTTATAACAATCGCGACAGGATTAGTACATCCCACAAAATCTATTAACCATTTTTAAATTTCTAGAAGTCAAGAAACTCGAAAAAAAGAATCCAAAATGGGAGACAATTACCATTTTTCTAAATGATATATTTAAACAAGTTATATTTATCTAATAAATTTATAATAAAAATAATTTTAAAAATAGAAAAATTATATACCTAATGTAAAAATTTTTACATTTATAAAATTGTAAAAATCAATGTAAAAGATAGACAAATAAAAAGGAGAAAATAAATTCTTCAATTTTTTTCCTATTTATGCTAATGTATTTAGTAGATAGATAATTTTTTGCTCGATTTTTACTGGCCCATTCTTTTAGTCGGCGTGCATATTTAGTACTTAAAAATAGGAAAAATAGATAAAAGAAATCTGTATATTTTTACATAATACATATTTACTACGATTTAATCGTAAAGGGGAAAAAAATAAAGAAATAAATTTGAATTAATTTTTTAGAATTCAAAATAAAATACATTTATAAGTCTCGAGGTGTACTTTATCAAAATGGATTAAATATTTTATCCAAATCTGTACCTGGAAATGTTTCGGATATCCGAAACCGAACCGAAAGATCATCGGTTCCGGAAGATCATCGGTTCGGTATAGAATCGACAACACTAATAATAGAGCTTTTTATTTGAAATTTTAATTATTTTTAAGGTTAAAAAAATGTCAACTTTTTTTGCCGATTTCATCCATTCTGAACAGTCATGCCTCCTTATGGGATTTGGAAATTGACTCGTTTCCCTTGATATCATTTTTTAAATATTGCTTCATTTTTTAAAATTTAAATTTCTTATTCAAACACACTCCTCAAACATCGGTCCCTAAATATCCCTCCCAAATGTCGACTACTGAACAAATTGGTACCTTTTCGATACCACTTTTTCTTTAAATTACCTATGCTCAATTTATAGGTAATTTACCAATTTATAGGTAAAATCCAACAGATTTTACGGAAACGTGAATTAATTTAAAGATTATTAATCATAAAATATATTTATTTTTGGTAAAATTATTAATATGCAAAAACTAAAATAAAAAATACAAAGGCGAGGCCAATAAATATACATAAATGTTATAACAAAAGCTATTATTCTGGAAAATAAAACACTCCCAAAAAATATATTTTTTATTATTTTTATTGAATATTTAAACCAAGACAAACTACATGGATTAATAAAAGATTTTTTTGGTACATTTTGAAAAAAAATTCTTTGATTTTTTCTTCTATATTTGGATTGCTAAAAATAATTGCTTGGAGTATGTTTATTTATTGTTTGTATTTTAATAAAAATTAAAAAAAATCCACGTTTTAAAAAAATTCTCTAAAAACCTTTCTGAATGGCCATAAAAATTTAGATAATTTTCCCAAAATAAAGTTGCCAAATAAAAAGCAAAATTCCCCTGCCAAAATAAATCATTTTCTAAAAAAAATAAAATGAATTTAATAAATAATTTATTTAAAATTAAAATATTTTTATCCCTAAACTTAATTTTGGCACAAAAAATAAATGAAAATGGGAAAGATGATGAAATTACTGAAAGACTTCCTGGACAAGATTTTGACCTTAATTTTAAACATTATTCTGGTAATTTAATGTTAGAACTCACTTAAAATACGTGTCTAGAAAAATCATACTGAGGGGTATCATAAATAGAGAAATTCGCTTAATAAGCTTTTCTGGAACAAAGGCCAAACATTTTTAAATGAAGTATCTTAATAAAGTTTACCTCGTATTGGGTGTATTATAAAGAGATATCTGGCCGTTTTATTTATTTTTTAATTTTTTAAGGTTATCTTCAAGTCTCAAAAACCAAATTTCTCCATTATGTCTTTACTAAATCACAAAATAATTCTGATAAGGATCCTTTGGTAAATTTTATCTTTTTTTGAATGTTGTTAAGACCTCCATTTTTTGATGAAACTTCAGACTAGTTGGAAACCTGATGAGATAAAGTCAGATCGGGGTTTCAAATCTAGAGATTTTCGGGTCGAAAATAATAGCAAGGGATTAAGGAGATTATATCTTGATCACTCGATATCGTGAAACCCAAATACCCCAAGCTTCCCTTTAATTCCTCCCATACCTCATTTAAACATTAATTTTATTAACCTATCAGATACTATTTTAAAATTTTAATTTTACTTAATTTTCAAAAAAAGGTTTTATGGTTAAATGGTGGCCCTGGATGTTCTTCACTTCTCGGTCTATTTACCGAATTGGGCCCTTATTTGCTTTTGGAGGATGGCTCTAATAAATTAATTAGAAATCCTTATTCTTGGAATAACAATGCTAATGTTTTGTTTCTTGAATCCCCAGCGGGGGTTGGATATTCTTATTCAACTGATGGAAATATTACTACAAATGATGATGAAGTAAATAATTATATGTATTTTTAGGAATTGGACCAGCGAACGCGCCGACATTAAAATTACCGATTTCGAGAATAGGGACGGCACACTCCTTGATATGGACCTCACTTTTAGTTATACCCAATATCGAATACACAATGTTTTGTTTCTCGGAAAAACGAAAAAAAATCAAAACAAAAAAAGTTATGTAAAACGGGTTAAGTAAGAAAAACAAATTTCTTTTTAATACCAGGCAGTCTTTTTATGTAAATCAATTTTATTTTCTCTTATTTGTTTAATTTCCATAAAAAATTTCACAATTTTTTGTGAAATTTATTTAAATTTAATTATTTTTTCTCTCCAAATTTACGTTAGTTATGAGAGTTGGAAAGAGAAAAAATTATAGATTTACACCAAAAAAGAACACTCAAAAGAGAGAGAGGTAAAATAAATTTGAAAATTATGAATTAACAGCCTAATGCTGGTAAAGAGAATATAAATGAAGGTAAAAAACGAGAAGAGAAAGTTTACAAGAATAATTTCACTTCGTTTATAAGGATTCATTTGAGAGTGTTTTAGAATGCTTGTAGAAAGGGTTAAAGATTTCAATGACGGTTCCAGGCTTCTATCGGTTCCACGGTTCCAGTTCCAAACCGGTTCCAGACCTTTACAGGTTCCACGGTTCCAGTTCCGGAACTGGAACTGCTGGAACTTTCCCACCACTGGTAACAGCCTTAGTCAATTAAGCATTTGCAAAGGTATACCAAAGAGGTTAAAGTTTCAATTAATTCCTTCGGCCTAAACCTCTGTGAAATTAAAAATGAATGAATTAATACTATTTTTATTTAAAGACGGCAAATTACAATTATGAAGCTTTAAAACAATTCCTCAACAAATTTCCTGAATATAAAGGACGCCCAACAATTATAAGTGGTGAATCATATGCTGGTGTCTATTTGCCAATGTTGGCTAATTTAATTATTAAAAGACAAAAAAAGTTCCCAATAAATTTGAAAGTAATTGAGGGATTATTTCATTTTTAACATTTAATTCAAAAAAGGGAGTGCTAATTGGAAATGGGATGTTGAGTCACATTCTAGATGATAATACAATGCCACTTTATGCTTACGGTCATGCTATTATAGATGAAGAATTATGGCAATATTTTGGCAAAAAATGTTGTAAAGGATGTGCTGGTATAGTTTATTTTGATTTAGAAATTAAATTGAAGAAAATGTCTTATGAAGTACAAAAAATTAACCAAGAATTTGCCCTATGGAATCAAAAATTGTCTTGAATCTAGTTATTTTTGGTCTTGAGTCTTGCGGTCTAGTCTTAGAAAATTTTTGGTCTCGCACGTCTCTAATACTTGGGCTTTTACTATATCTAACAATAATATTTCCAATTTAATTAATTTAGATACTTGTGACATTCATTCTTATGCTAATAAAACAAAAACAGAATGTTATAACATTGTTTGTTTTAAATTATTGTAAAGCATATAGCTATTTAATTCGTAAGGCTATGCAGTAGGCGGCGTGGTGTAATGGCTAACACATCAGTCCGGTCTACTGAAGATGCTGGTTCGCTCCCAGCCGCCGAATAACCTTTTGCACTAGCTAAAGGAGATAAATAGCTATAGTCCAACTGCTTTACTTTATAATAAAAAATTATTTCATGAATTATTATTCAGATTGGTTCGATCTTTAAGAGTATTTATAATGGTATCTCCAATCCTTATGATATTTATCGTGATTGTGGTAAATAACTTTTAGTGTATGATTTTAAAGATTATGCAAATTTTAAAGATAATATGTTAACAAAATCAAAAACTCTGACAAAAAATTCATTGCTTGGAATGTTTTCTCGAACACCTTTTATTTTAAAAACATTGGGGAGTTTTTTACTTACGGTATGTCTTCTGAAATAAAATGTGCCGTATTGAGCAAAAATCGGGCCGGGTTTTAAAGTTTCTCCGAATCGAGGAAAAAAGTTACTTCTTCAATTACAGGGTAATTATTAAGCAGAGTCCGTACGGGGAAGGGGTCGGTCGATATTTTTTCGATAAATACCGAAAAATATCGTCGATTTTATATCGAAAAATATCGAAAAAATGGTATCGAGCCGGGCTCTATTATTAAGTATGTAATTGTTATATGATTCTTATTTAGGAAGATAAATTTGAAAATTTAAAAATCCAATCAGAAAATGACAGTTATGACGAACCAATAATTCCATGTATTAAAGGTATATTTAAATAAAGAAATTTTTATTGAAAATCCTCTTTATTAATTTAAGGAAATATTATAAATAATTACATGAATTTACCTAAAGGTATTTTTGTTAACTAATTAAAATTAGAATTAACTCATTTTTAAAAGTTCGAGAAGCATTCCATATTCCAAACAATATTACATGGAAAGAATGTAATGATGATTTTAAGAATAAATATGATCTACAATATGGTTAGAATAATTTTGTTATTCATTTGAGAAAATTCTTTTTATAAAAACTTTTTATAAAATAAAAATTATTTTTTTAAAATTATAAATATGGAAAATAATTTAAAATTCCAGCTGATATGGTAGATTTCATGAAAAATATAATAAAAGCAAAGGTGCCAGTATGGGCATATTATGGAGATACTGATATTGTTTGTAATTTTTTGATTGGTGAAAGATTTGCCACACAACTTGGAATTACAGTTTTTTACATTTTAAATTATAAAAATATTCTTTTAGTTATTAACACCAAAAACCCCCTGGATTCTTGACGACCAAATTGGGGGTACTGTAACTGAATATGACGGATTTACTTTATTAACCGGTAAGTTCACATACACGATAAAAATGCACTATATAATACATAGTGATATAAGTAAAAAAATTAAATGATTAAAGTAATAAATTAGACTCTAAGGATGTCTAACCGATTTTTACAAACCGAAGAATAAACGAAACGGGACAAAAAAACGAAAATCCAAGATGAATAGGAAGAAAAAAATAACGGCAGAAATACTCTAAAATCTGGAGAGCGGGCCAAGGTACCGCAGATCTATAATTTCGTTATTCTATACTTTGAACAAAGTTATAGCTCCGCGGTACCTTGAAATGCCCCTAAAATCTGTCATTATTTAGGATAAAAATATTTTATTACATAATTTAATTAAAACAATTTTCAGTTAGAGGTGTTGGGCATATGGTAAGTCTTATGAAATTAATTTGAGTATATTAAGAAATTTTTTATTTTTAATAGGTCCCGCAATGGGCACCTAAAAGAGCATTTTATATTTTGACACAATTTTTAAATCAAACTATTTAAATAGAAAATGGAGAGAGAATGGGAAGATGAAAGTTTATAAAAAAAGTTTAAACGGGGAAATATTTTAAAATCTAATTTTTGATGGGATAAATTATCACTTTTTCTCGCCCAAATAAATTGTGCTTAAAATAATCGAAAGTATGCCTAACCCTTCTTTTAATTTTTTAAAAGAGCTTTCTTTGATTTTGAATTTTATTTTGATAAAAAATTGGAATTTTTTAGTTTATTTGTTTCGTGTTCGAGAATAAAATTTTTTATTCAAATCAAACAAAAAACAGAAATAGGGGCCTATTTAATATCCTCCTTTTTTTGGCTGCAAGCAAAAATTTTGAGGATTTTGGAAGGTTCATTATAATTAGAACTTTCTATTTCAACATTTATAAATGGGGTTTTTTATTTAAATAATCTTTTTTGATTCTTTTTAGTTTCGCTACAAAATTAAACAAAAAGTCCTACTATGCATTAATTACCTATTGGAGGATAATTTAAATATAAAGCCCCGGGGGTTAATTCAATTTTTTGTTTTTAAGGTTTATCTTAAAAAGTAATTTTAGAGATTTAAATAAATTGTTGACCCAAAGAATTTATGCAAAAAATTTTTGTAAATAAACTACAAAACAGTTGAACATGGGTAAATATATTGGAGATTAAATCATTCAAAGATTTTCTTTCTAAAATTTAAATTTTCAATTTGTAACCATTTAAAATGTAAAAATTCTATGAAAACTTTAATAGAGTAGATCAAACTTGATTTAAAAACTTGTTTTGGATTACAAAGTTTGATCTACTTTATGACTTCAAAAATGAAAAATTAAAAATAATTTGTAATAAATTGATAGATAGGAATTTGAAATTTTCAGATTTAAAACTTTTAATGGTAAAAATATAGTAATTTTTGGTGTGTTTACTTAAATACTTTTGACTTGAATATATATGTACAAGTGTTTTTGACTAAATAATAATGGTGTGTTAGTATGAGTTGAAATATACCGTAAATGCTCTAATAGAACCACATGTGCTTGTATTTTTCGATCCTCTCATAGGGTGTGGTTATATTGGAGAATGTGCTTATTTCAGAGAGTCTGGTTCTATTAGAAGATTTACGGTAACTGTAATGTTAGGGAAAAAGTAAAGAAAATGTTTAAAAGTAAAGATAGTGAATGAGAGAATTATTTCCCACAAAAAAAATGAATTTCCAATTTCGGGAATTGGAAATTCCCGCCACAAAAAAAACATAGGAAATTCCCGATTTTATGGAATTTCGTATTTTTTTAGTCTGCGGAGTGTCAATGTTAGATATCATTATGCGACGCAATTAAGATTAGACAATCGTTGATTTCACCACCGCAGGTAAAATTTTTTTATTTTGTGTCAATAGGGCAGAAATTCACATTTTCAACTACCTAATTGAAGAAAAATAATAATTTTTAGAGAAAAGTGGTAGAAAAAATACCGAAAAATTTCGGGAAACGAGGCTATGGTTGTTTGTGTCCGGTTAATTTTTACAGGTGGCAATTCAAAGCTTTTTCTTATTCTTCTCTATTTGCCCCGATACAAGGAAAAATTAACTGGTCACCAACAACTCTACATTTAACGCTAAAAATATGTTAACTTTTGGTGTGTTTACTTCAATACTTTTGAATCTACATCAGTGCGTGTTTTAACTAATAATAGAGTGCGAAAAAGACTGAATTCGTGATATTTTGTTTTAAGAGAATTTCCTGAATTTTTCTTAATTTCTTTTCAACTTTATGTAAAATATCTTGCTTAAAATAATTAAATTTTAGCAGTTATGAGATGAAGTTTTCGCACTTCTCTACCATAATTTTAAGGGTAATTTAATGGAAAAGTGAAAAAAAAAATTTAGAAAAGCAAAAAAATCAAATAAAGTCATCTTTGGTACTTGATATCCTCCTCACTCTGCACTAAAGGCATCGGGAACTTTAGAGTTAGTTTCCGGGCCATAACAAACACTGTAACAAATTAAAAAATTTAATATTCTTTTAAATGCTTTAGGTCTATTAAAAAAGTTAAATAAGCTGGTAATAATTATTTTTGTTACCAACATTTTATCTTTTCTTACTTTTGTATAAGTTAACATTATTAACTATAAGCAATTCTCTACCCACTAATAGAGAGTTGTGTTAATACCATAAATTAAAGATCAGACCGTACCGTACTACGGCCGTATTTTTCGGTATTTATCAGTATCGGTATTATACGGTACGGAACAAAATTCCGATCTCTACTATAAATGTTCTATAGAAATAATGTTTATACTATAGAATAAAGTTGACGTATAGTTGGAGATCCTCGGATATCCGCCGTCAACCTTATTATAGAAGCTTTAAAAAATTTTTTCCAAATTTAACTAAAAATAAACAAAGTTTTCACCATTACTAGCTCAATGCCAAAAGTAAATTCCCAGAAAAACCGCACCAACAATCCATCCAATCAAAGCTAATATAAACCAAACGCTTACAATAAAACCTCCACAATCGACCCAAACAACCTCAACAATATCTCGCTTCTTTCGAATTTTATTTTTATTTTTTAAATTATCAAAACATCCATTCTTTGTTAAATTAAAGATTGAATTCTTTTTATCAGCTTTATGGAAACTTATTGGAAAAGAAATGTTTGGACAACTATCTCCATTGTTTCCAAATTCATTGAAGCGACATTCTTTATTTATAAAAAAAGGAAATATTAAATTAGGGTTGTTAGGGCCCTCAAATTAGGGCCCTCAATTTTCTATTATCTCGATTTTCAATCCTGGCTCTCAGTTTTTCTCAGACAGACGCAGCATATAAAGTTTGAAAATGATAAGTCTGTTTTTAGCGCGAAATCTGTCAAAGCATTGAGGGTAGATATGTATTTATGTCAAAAAATAAAATAAAAACCAACCTTTCTGATTTATTTCACGACGATGGCGATGTTGTTGATTATAATAACCATGATCTTTCTGATTATCCTTTATCCCACGACGATAGCGAGTCTGTTGGGCATAATGGGAAGCATAATTATCATATCGAACGGGATCGCTAAATTGATATCCCAATTCTGCCAATTCATTTGGATCAGTAACAATCCTTCCAGTATGAGGATTTATAATAGGTTGTTGTTGTTGGGGAGGAGGAGAATTTTGACCTCTTTGTGGTAAAAATTCTGATAAATGCATTTCAGGCAAATTAATTTCTGATAAATGAATAACAGGCACAGGACATTTAATTTCTCCGAAAATCCGCGCAACCAAAAAAGTTGTTCCTATTACACCAATCCAAGCGCCAACTCCAAGATATACGATAAAAAACACAACCTTATCACCCATATTATATTCACTAAAATCCTTGTGTCGTTTTTTTCGGATTAATTGAATTGAATTAGAAATTGAAGTGTTCTAAAAATGAACAAAAATTTTTGATTAAGAATTTTTATTTAAATCGTTAAAATCTTTACTTACCGTAAATGCCGAAATAATTTTACCCCCTACAGCCAAAGATCGAAAAAATAATTACCCCTCTTAAAAATTGTTATAATTTTCTAAAAAAGCTTAAATAAATACCCCCTCCCTTTTAATCACTCCTTCCAGCGAGAGGTTGAAACAATAATTACCCTGGGTAATTATTTAAGCAAATATGGTAATTAAAATAAACATACTTTTTCTTCTCCCCCAAAACATTCTTTAATTTTTAGCCAATTATCAACAACATTTTCTTCTCCTTTTCCAAAATTATTTTTGATTGATTTAAACATTTCTTTTAAATTAATTTCTTCAGAAAATTTTGAAAAATAATTTTTATTTTCCTCAACAATTTTCCCTTCTTTTTTCATTTCACTCAACATTTTTTCTATATTTTCCTCATTATTTCCTTCTTTCAAAATTTTAACAAAAATTTCAATTTCTTCAAATAAATTTCCAAAATCTTTTCTAATTTTAATCCAAGTTTTTTCCTCTTTTAAATCGTTTTCTCGGAAATTATTTAATAAATTCCCCATTTTTTCTGTCAAATTTTTTCCATAAATTTTTTGATAATAAAAGAGAGGAATAAACAAATTCTCTAAAAGAGTTTTTCTCAAAACAAAAGAATTAATTATTTCCATAATTAAATTTATTTTTTTATAAATTTGACCAAATATTTTATTTTTACTATTTAATGCTTTCTTTCCAATCCAATTAATTGGACTTGTTAAATAATTAAATATTTTCTCGATTAAACGTTTCCCTACTCCTCTTCCATTCCCTCCAAAAAGCTGGATTGATCTAAAATTGATATATTCTGGCTTGAAATGCTCATCTGAATCTCCACTTACTGAAAAATTTAAAGGAAAATTAATGGTCAAAAAACTATTTATTTAACTAGGCATGTTGATGGATACGGATGGATACGGATGGATATCTGGGGTTACCCCCGAGAATATCTGGGGTTACCCCCTCTCTCTGGCATTTTTATACATTTTTCGGGAAATCTCCACTATCTGATCTTTTCAAATTTATAACTCCGATCCTCAACAATCCCAGGAGGATACCTTATTAATTAAATGCTCGTTTTAATATCTAACAAGCTTGAGCCTAGCTTTGATAATCTCGGACAAGCTCAGGAAATAACACAATGAATCTCTCACTTAATTTTTTTCACATTTTTGTCAACTCAAAATTAAAAATACCCACATTTAAAATCCAAATCCAACATTAATTTACTCATTTCTTTTTCCAAATTTAATTTAAACTCATTTTTGTTATAACCAATTTTTTCTAAAATCATTAAATTACACATTTCATTAATAAATAATTTATTCATTAAATTCTCTATCAAAACAAAATTTCCTTCAATTAATTTTATTTTTTTAATTTCTTCTTCAGAAATATCCAATTTAATTAAATTTCCATTTTTTAAAATTTCTGAAATATTTTCTTCTTCTTTTTCTTCCACAATTACTATTTGTTTTAATGCCAAAGCTAAAGCAAAATATTTTGCTTTAACAAAATTTGAAAAAAATTTTGAAAGATTTTGTTGGAATATTTCTTCTCCTTTTGTTGATTTTTTAAACAAATTTTTATACGAAAATCCTTCATTTTTCTTCAACCTTTTTTAATTTAAAAATTTTATAAATTATTAAGACTAATAAAAAAGTTGATTTAGGGCATTATTATCAATAAAGTAGGGCATTTTATTAATTTCAAATAATATATTCTCCCTGCACGTCAAATGTATGTTTGGCGGATCCTGAGAAATCCCCGCATATTCGGATTCGGTATCCAACCGAAAATTTTGGGATATTCGGACCAGGGATGAGCGCAAGAGACAATCTCAAAAAATGCAAACGCAACGCAAAGCCTAAATTTAACGCAAATAACGCAATGCGCTCACTCCTGATCAAATTTTTCTGATCGTCAACCTTAGCCAAATGTTAGAGGCTCACTGCCAATTTGGAATATTTATTACAAGCCAAAAGAGAGAGCCAATAGGCAGGAATAATTAATTAATTACTTGTTAAATATTTGATAAAATTTCCCTTCACTTTTTTTATTTATATTTTCAATAAGATGTAAAATAATTGAATAACCGTTGACATTACATTTTTTAATTTGATTAAATATTCCTTCCCAATTAATTTTAATTTTATTTTCAACTATTTGGACGTTAATTTTGTTTTCATTTTTTGTTAAAATTTTTGTAAATATTTCAACGATTTTTCCATAATTTTGAATGAATTGATTGTAGGAAATTAAAAGTGGAGTATTTTCTGTGTAAATTATTTAAAAATGAATTGAGGTTTTTTTACTTGTCTGAGTTTTTCCCAAATCATTAGATAGGGTTCGGTCCCAGTTTCTCGGGGCAGAGAATTCGCCGGGGAATGGCGTAGGTCCCCCAGAGCCCCCGTTCTCTGTTTCACACCGTTCTCCGAACACTAATTCCCCGCAACCTACGTTTCCCGTAAACTCAGCCACGCCTCGTAATATCCGGTTTCTGGGGTTTTCAAATTTTTTGCTGGCTCCCCGACTATTTCAAAATATGTAGTCTATTTACGGAGTTGCTCCATGTCCACTCACAAACCCAATCAAGTAATCAAAATTAATATAAATAAATACCTAAATTCAACAAAAGTTTCAGTGAGTATTTAAATATTTTATCATTCCACCCAGTAAGATTAAAATTAGTTTTGTTAATTGTTTCAACAAGTTTATTTTTTTCTTCGGGTTTCATTTTATCAGTTACATTTTCTCCAACAAAATTAGATAAAATTAAAATTTTAATTAATTTATCTGTTAGCATTCTTTTATCGTTATTGGAGGAGGATTTTTCTTCTATTTTCTCTAACAAACACTTTAAACGAAAAATTAAAAATTCGTTCCGTTTGTTTTTATTTTCCACTATTTCAATGTAGTCGTTGAGATTTGGAGGATTTTCTATACATTTATTATACAGAAAATTCTTCGTTGAATTATAGATCCATTCGACAAATTTTGGCTAAAAAGAGAAAATATTTGTGATAATTCTAAAATAAGAATAAAGAGAAGCATGGTATGAAGTATATGTGCCGGAGTCGGATTCTGGATTTGGAACTAGGTTCAATCCGGGCTGGAGATTATTCTAAGATCGTAAGACTCCTGTCCTTGGAGTGTGGAGATATAGTAGGAGGAGAGGACCTTAAGGACACAGGATTTGGTCCAGAGTGGGATCACATTAATTGTTACAAAGTCTAAGAATTTAATTTCTTTAAAATTCTAAGAATTTTGTACCTTTTCAATTAGAGGCTTTTCAATACAATTCATGTCCAACCGCCAATTTAAAAATTGTTTGAGTTTCTTAGCGTCAAATTCTTTTTGATTTTTTGAGAATTTGTTAAAGTCAACTTTAACAGTTTCAAAGTTCAAGAATTTAATTCCTTTAAATTTCGGATAAAGCACAGCCATTAACTTTAAAGACAATTTCAATTCCTCCAACTTTTGTGTACTAACAATCTCCAAAAAAGAATGTGTATCATATTCTTTTAATGTTTTGTACATTAATGTTGCAATATACAAAGGTTTAGTAAGCAAAAAAGATCGAAGAAGATTTTTAAAATTTTCTGAACCTACATTCAATTGGAAAATTCCTTTAAATTCTGGTTGTTTATTTAAATTGTTTTTGTCTGACATTTGTTTTTTGTGTTTATTTTTAGTTTTTGTTTGAATGAAAAATCCATCTACACATTCAATATAAAACCACAATTCACTTTTAGCTTCATCTATTGCTTCTTTCTTTGTTTTGCTATTAAGAACAATCTAAATTTTATTACTAAGAAACTTACTACATATACTAAATTTTCAGTAAAATCTAGTATCCAATCAGTCCCTTTTCCAAATCCTTTAAAGGAATTCTTTATAAAATCTAACGTAGGCAAGATCTGAAGATTTGACGTTTGTGGATCCAACGTTTGAGGATACGACGTCTGAGGAATACAATTCCCGGTTTAATTTTTGGTAAAGCATTCAAAATTAATTGATTAAAATTAAATGATAAAGATATGTTTGGACGCATTTTTCATTAGACGCATAAACTTTTCATTGGACGTATAAAATTTAATTGGACCATAAACGTTGATTGGACGAAAAATAGTTGATTGGACGTATAGTAATATAGCCATAATTTGTATTAAAGACCGGCCCAGAAAGGGATAGAAAAGATAATAAAAGATCACATCATAAAAATTATTTTTAAATTTCCTTTGATAGATCTACAAATGCGATTTTACAGGTTTCTACTTTGTACATAGTATTGAAGTTACGAAATTCAACGCTGGAATGATCCCAAAATTTATCGACCTGTTTTTATAACCAAACTTTCAATCTACTTAGTTAATAAAATAAAAACATGCCGTGATTGGATCATTAATTTCCAGGCTAAAGCTTCCTTTGGAATTTTTACAAAAAGCAAAAATTCCTTTAAATCGGGCCAAATCGTCAAAATTAGCCATTTCATTCAGAAATGTGTTGACACATTTTTCTGGGTCAAAACAATTTTTGGCATTGTTTAGAGTTGAAGTAATTTGTTGAATTATATTTTCATCTATTGCCTCAATGTTGGAAGAAATGTCTTCTTCGATAGAGCAAAAAACTTGTTTAGTGTAAATTAACACAAGTAATTTTAAAACAAATAGTTTTAACATTTTGACTTTATAAAATTTAATTAATAAATGTTAATAAATAAATTAATTCTAACTAATTCGACGCTTGCTTTATAGCCAATCTTTTGCTTCACTCCTTATTTTACCCTGCTTCTTCACTCCCCCTCGTTTATTTCACCACTCTTCGCCTCTCTTCCTTTATTACACAATTAGACTCGTAAGTTCTAACTCTAAAGATCTGTTTCAAAATTTCGATTTACAAGCAGAGCTATTCGAAATTTCGATATTTAACATTTAATTTTAGGGTTTCGAAATTTCTCAAACATTCAACTTTTGGCGCCAAAGAAAGGAATTCTGGCCAAGGGAAATTCAGAAAAATTTCTCTTGATGCGCAAAGAAGTAGGAAAATCAAATTATTTTATCAAATATCAAATAATTTGAAAATATTTTATAATTTAGTACATCGGATTTAGACGGATATCGGAGAATCAAAGAGGATATATATCGATGAAATTAGAGGAATCAAGGAGGATACAAATGGGCTTGATTACTTCTTTGCGCATCAAGAGAAATTTTTCTGAATTTTCCTTGGCCAGAAAGCCAGAATTCCTTTCTTTGGCGCCAAAGAGAAATTCCGAAACCCTAAAATTAAATGTTAAATATCGAAATTTCGAATAACTCTGCTTGAAAATCGAAATTTTGAAACAGATCTTTAGAGTTAGAACTCACGAGTCTAATTGTGTAATAAAGGAAGAGAGGCGAATATTGGTAAATAAACGAGGGGGACGTGCCCGCACAAAATACCGAATTCTCAAAATCGCGAATAGGCTAAAAAAGCTCAAAATCGCGAATCGGTAAAAATATCTCAAAATATGGAATCGGCCAAAAAAGCTCAAAATATGGAATCTTAAAATATCGAATCTCAAAATCGCGAATCGGCCAAAAAAGCTCAAAATACCGAATCGGCTAAAAAGTAGTTAAAAATGTCGAATTTTTTAAAAACGAAAAGGGCCGTTTGAGTGCCGCTGCAGGTCTTTTTCTGATTATTCAGGGATCTGTAACTCAGTCCAATCAGGTCGGATTTCATTGATTTTGGTATCATTCGATGCAGCTCGACGTGCTCTTTCAGATGAGCTATCATTCGGAAACTCGAAATTCGGTTCGGGATTCGAAATTCGGTTCGGGTCCGGGATTCGACTTTTTCAAAATCCGAGCTGAGATTCGTAATCAGCACATTTTTTTACCTTAGAAAAATACTTTCTCTTATTTTTAAAATTTTTTTACGAAGAAGTTGGTCACAACTTTGTTCAGACTCAACTGGCCTTTGCCGCATTGTCGATATTTTTCGATATTTTGAGCTTTTTTTGCCTATTCCATATTTTGAGATTCGATATTTTGAGATTCCATATTTTGAGCTTTTTTAGCCGATTCGCGATTTTGAGATTCCATATTTTAAGAATTCGGTATTTTGTATGGGAGCCGAGGGGGAGTGAAGAAGCAGGGTAAAATAAAGAGTGAAGACTACATCCAAACTACATAGTAAGTTTATAATAATTTATTTTCCAAAGAAAAACAATTACTTAGGAACTTTTGCATCACTGCCTGTAAGTGCTTTCTTCATTGAGATCTCAAAATCCCGAAATCAACGGTAATTTGAATAGGCCCTAGACCGTATTTATGTAGATTAAAATTTTCTGCTCTCAATTAGCTTGTCTTTAATTTATAAATGTCGTCCATTCGAGTCTAGCAAGTAAGTATTTTTAGTGACCGGCGCGGGACGGACGTACGGGATTTTGCGGGATACCGCTCCCGCACTTTTTCGATTTGCGGGATTTTGAGGGAGTACGGGATTATTCCCGCGGGATCCCGTCCCGCTCTAATAAAAATACTATTTTTATTAGAGACCGGCAAAATCGCACTTCCGGGATCCCGAGTCGGGATTTTTTTCTTAACCGATGCCGGGATCCCGTGGGATAAATCCCGAAAAAATCCGGAATTAAAAAACCTCGAAAAATATTTTTCGGGATCGGGATCCCGAAAAATCCCGTCGGGATCCCGTCCCGCGCCGGTCTCTAATTTTTATTTATTTTTGTCCACCTTTTTAAAAAGTTAAAATTCAGTTTTTAAATGAAATTTACCAAAACAAATTTAATGAGAATAACAACAAAATATTTTAATTCAGCATCAATAAGAGAATCAAAAGACAACAATTCTTTAAATAAATCTCTTTCAAAAATCGTTTCTTATTACGAACAATTTATTGGACTTTCTGAAGTTCAAAAAGCTAGAAATGAAGTTAATCAAGTAATTAAAATTATTTGAAAAAATTTTTAAAATTATTTTTTCTTTAAAATTTCCCAGTCGACAAATTAATTTTTATTAAATCCGAAAATTGATATTTCCTGTTTTTCTTTGATTTATATGGCTATAACTAGATTTTTTAATTTGGGGATTATTTTTAGAAATAGGTTAATTCCCAATAGAATTTTTTGGATATTTTTCTTTATTATATAAATTTACTTGAATTTTTATTGGTTTATTTTTAGGGTTGGGGTTTTCGAGTCGTGCCGGCCCGACCGAGTCTTTTTCGGGCCTCATTTTTTTCGGGCCGGCCCGGCCGAGTTTTTTTCGGGCCAAAATTCAATGCCCGACTCGATCTTTCAGGCCAGGCCGGATCGGGCCCCCAACCCTATTTATTTTATTTTTAAATTTAATAATTTTATTTTTTTTAATAATTTGAAAAAATATTTTTCAATTAATCTTACATTTCTAATAACTAAAAAAACAATTATTTTTATTTTTGCGGACATTTTTAAATAATTGTGGATGAATTCTAGAAGTGTTACTTTTTTGGCATAAATTTTATCAAGTTAATCTAGAATAGAGTTTACTCTAAAATTTGAATAAATTATTAATCGTTTCTAATTAAAATTAGAAATTCTAATAAAATTTTTTTGAAAATCCGCAAATATTGAATTTTGTCCGCAAATTTAAAAATTTAATATTTTTGGGGTTTACTTGACATTTAAAATCAGGGCTCGGATCTCTGCGGATTTTTCATGCTTTTTGATGTTTTTTGAAAGGTCGATGCGGATTTATTTTTTAAATGCGGAAAAATCCGCATTTGATGTCTTTGAGAAAATTTTGCGGAATTTTATGATTTTCTTGATGTTTTTCACTTTTGGTTCTCAAAATTCAAAATCACCAAAATTTTCGCCTGCGGCGCAGAAAAAATGGATTTTTTGGTTTGAAGGCGCCAAAATAGTTTTTGCGGATTTTTGAGTAAAATGCGGATTTTTTTAGCTCAAAATTGCGGATTTTTTTCCGAGCCCTACTTAAAATCTTTTAATTTTTTATTTTAAGTGTGAAAGTAATTTATTCCAAGCCCAACAGGACAGAAGAGAAAAACAATCAGAAATTAGACTTGTACAAAATAAATTAAAAGAAATACACAGTGAACTTGACAGGACATTGAGAGGGGAAGACAAGTTTGGAATTTTTAATTTTTTTTAATTTTATAAAAATAAATTTAGATATTTACGTCTAATAACTGACGAACATGCTGCAATTAAAAAAGAAAGGGAAATGATGAATATTTATGAGGAATTGGAAACTAAGGAGAGGGAGGCTTTTAATGTTTTGTCTAATAAGGTTTGGAATTTTTTTAAAAATAATTTGGGGGTTTTGGAATTATTTTTTTTGGATTTGGGGGTGTTTAGTGATCTGACATGAGTAAAATTGAACCGGACAGACCTCCTTTTTTCTTACTATTTTCCTCTATATTTTTACAAAATGGTCAATTGCCTACAATCAAATTGCCTTTCTAATTTTTGCCTACAATCAAACAAAAAGGATTATTTAATTTTATACAAGTGCAAGTACATGCCAAAAAGAACTAAAAAGTGGATTATTTTTGGTATTTAACAAGTACAAGAGTTTTGATTTTAGGCAAAAATTAGAAAAAGCAATTTGGATGTAAGGAAAGTATTCTGACCATTTTGCAAAAATATAGGGGAAAAAGGGGATCTGTCCGGTTCAATATTACCTTAATTTGATCTTTAATTAATTAAAACAAGCAAATAACTAATTTGGTTAAGATTCCGAATTAAATTTTGATAAAAAATTTAATTAAAGCTTCTTAAAAAATTAATTAAATTTACAACAAACCCCAACCTAATTAAGATTCCTTTTTGGTAAATTTTTAAATCGATTGTTAACTTGAAAATTTTTGGGAATTTTTCTTCAATTTTTTACGAATTTTTCTTTTTCTATTTTTTGAAAGTTATTTTTTATAATATTATTTTTCTAGAAATTTCTTTTAATTTTATCACTTTTTCGTATTTTTTCTAAAGTTTTTTCCCAAAAATTACTCAAATCCAAGTTTACTTTCATTTTTAATTCTAAATAACTTTGCGGACAAAACTTGCGGACATTTCTTAAAATAATTAAAAAAAATTCTTTTTTTGCAGGTCAGAGTCAGTCACGAACGTGAACGTGAAAGAGAAGAAAGAACAAAATACTGGTCACTCATTGGATCATTATTTGGTGCTTTATTGGGCATTTTAGGCACAACAATAGCTACAGAATTGAGAATGAAACATATTCGGGAAATGATTCCCTCTGGACAAGAAATTAAGCCTTTACTTGATGAAATGGTTCAAATGGTTAGGGGAAGTCAGGGGCAGGTTTTTTATTGAATTTTTGGTAAAATTGTTTTTAGATTTTAAAGGTTTCTGAATTTCTTGAGAATTTGACAAAAATGTTTAATTTGGAATCTCCAATGCTTTTGAATTCTAAAAATAAATTTAATGAAAATAATGTGGATATAACTGGAAATGATTTTATAAAGATTTTGGGAGGATTGAAAGAACAGGTTTTTTTGCTTAAATTAATTGGAGATTTTTTAATAGGTTTTTTGAATATTTAGGAATAATTGTTTTTAGTTTTGTTTTTAGTCAGGGACGGGTTTTCATTTAAAATTTTTCCTATAATTTTAAATGAAAGTAAATTTTGCAACTATCTCAAAGAAATACATAACCTTTTTTTGTATTTTGCGCTTCCCTTTGAATAACGTTTGATAAATACAAAATTAAGCTTGTTAAAATATTCTCAAGTCGAGTTATGAGGGATTGAAATTAATTTAGAAATCTTGACCAATTAAATCTTCAAATTAATGAAAAATTATTCGACGTAGATATCGATAAATCTTTTTTCCTTGGTTCGAGTTAATGTTGGAGGTTGATGTTGGAGAAAAATTAAGGGTCCATAATAATATGTCTGTCCGCTTTGATTATGTTTCCAGAAAAGATACATGGCACATATATCCCAAGGACTGAAACTTTGAACGGCCATAACTCGGCTCAAAGTTATTTTGCAAAAAAAACGGATCACTCCATAATAGTAAGTCGAGAGCCCTCTATCGAATGGTAACAAAAAATTATCAAATTAGCACTGACAGTAAACGATGTTCACTTTTTAGAATATAAATTTTGCCTCTAAATAATGCTGATGATCAAATAACACTTTAATAAAATCTATTATTTTTTTAAATTAATTTTTTTAAGAATTCAGCCCTTTCTGACCAAATGAATGAATTAAAACGTTTATTAAATTTGGAAAGAATAATTATTTCTGATAGTGAAGAAAATAAACAAAATTTTGTATTTATTGGAGATTCAATGGAAGCAATGCTTCAACAAACAGAAAGAAATATTGAATCAAAAATGAAATTACAAACATTGGCTTTTGTTGTTGGGTAATAATTTTTTTTGAAATTTTTTAAAAATTTTTGGAGGCTAACAAATTATGATTTTTGTTTTATACAGGGTGACACAAAAAGGATGTCCCACTTTTCAATCCATTATAACTAATTTTATTCTTTTCATTTTTAAATAATTTTATACTCTTTTTGTAGCCCATTCAATTCTCTATATTATATAGTAAAATTAAAAATTTTTGATTAAAGATTGGGAAAGTTATGCAATTTTACATATACTATATCAAAATCTGCCCCCCCAAAATTTCATTTTCTGTATCTCAACAATGAAAAGCCCAACCCTGATGATCTCAACAGAATTTAATTAAGCTTATTAGCAAGCCTAACGAATCTGAAAGCTGAAAACTCTAACTCTTACATAGATGGCTCTGAGTAGATGTAAGTCAGTTTTGGGGGGAGTGCGATTTACTCATTTTGGGAGGGTTACGCGCAATCGAATATCTCTTTAAGCGTTAACCCAAAAAAATTTTGTTTTATAAATTCTATAGGCCAAAGACTGCTCTAAATTCCATAAAAATTTTGTGTAATTCATGCATTCTGTTCTAAAGTTATAGGCAAAATTCCTCAAAAAAAGGTGCGTGCCGGATCGAAATTTTTTCTCACTTGCCTTGAACTTTATCTCAAAGTAGAATGCGGAAAATTCTAAAAATTTTTTATATCTTATTCTTCATTTAGTTCTCTATAATATCATCTTTATTTTATCTCATTATCTTAATTCTGAATAAAGTTATGACTAAAAATAAGTGGGACATCCTTTTTGTGTCACCCTGTATATTGAGATTGTTAAGGCCAGACTGGTGCATGGATACGGATTTTGCTATCCGTATCCGGATATATCCGTGAGGTCAATATCCGTATCCGTTTGTATCCGTCCAACTTTTTAGGCATATCCATCCGCGGATATCCGCGGATATATCCGTTTTTTCTCAAAATGGTCAGACTGGCTAAAATTTTCAAAATGGTCAAATTTATTTTAATTCGAGTAATGGTTAGATAATGCTGTAATATGTAACTGCATGCAACAAAACGAACCTTGCTTATGAACATCGGAGGTTCGAAAATAGGAAGGCAGAGTTCGGAATTCCGACCCAACGCTGCATAACAGGGATCATACCGACAAAAAATAAAATTTTGAAAATTTTTGAGAATTTTTGAAAATTTAAATTCCCGATTTCGGGCCGAAATGAAAATCTCTGTTAACTGACCAGTTGATTTCAGCGCCGCAGGCGAAAATTTTGAGAATTTTGGAAGACCATGAAGCAAAAAATCTTTCATTTTTAGCGCCGCAGGCGAAAATTTTGAAAATCTTAGAAGGCCATAGGCCATATGCCAAAAAAATTCACTTTTTTGCCCAATCTCCTCATCAAATTTATCCCTATTCCCCATTTCGAGAGGGGGGTGGGGAATTCCCCCTCCCTCCCTCCCTCCCTCCCTGGTTATGAGCCTGGTATAGGTTTTTGGACCTCCAAAATTCAGGAATTTTTGTTTGCTCAGCTAAAAGTGAATTTTTTCGGCTTATGGCCTTATAAAATTCTCTAAATTTTCGCCTGTGCCGCTGGATGAAATCTGGTTTCTTGGCTTTTAAAATTCTAAAAAAAATTTTGCACTGAGTAGGGCTCCCCGAGCCTTCGGGATCAGACCTGGGCGAAACTCCAAATTTTTTTCGGACGAAACGAAACGAAACAAAAATTTTTAAAAATCGTTTCGTTAACAAAACGAAACGAAACAGTCTAAATTTAACGAAACGAAACGAAACAAAACGAAACATTTTAATTTCGAAAAAAATCTCAAAAATCTGGATTATTTTATTAACTACACAATTTTAAGCATGTTAATTGGCCAATTATGACATATAAGTGATCGTAAAATTATGTGGACCATAAATTGTGGTCACATTAGCCAATTTTTCTCTTAATCTCACCTAAATCTAGAGTTTAGCGGTATCGGGATTTATAGAAAAACCGGGATCTGGATTTAGGAATGGTGATACCGATCCCGACACAGGATCGGGATTGGTCTAAATTGTCGCATTACCGAATGAGTAATTGATTATTAAGCCAAGGTCCTTCCCTCCAAAATATGCAAAAAGATTAATCTGCGGATACTCCCAGTAGGGGCTCTAAAGATAATTAAAAAGGGGGTCAACTCTGTACCCATCATTAGCCCGTTAATCCCACAGATCGACTGATTAAACTTGTAAAGAGATAAAAGCAAAGAATGGTGTTGATCAAAAGTTTGTAAGCCTTCAGGGTCAATAGGTCATCAGTGAGTAGGTTTACGAGGGGGGGGGGGTCCTTTCTCATCCCGAAGGCGAAAATAGGTCCTTAAGCCAGATTTCTTCTATTTTTTGCGCCGCAGGCGAAAATTTTGAGAAGTTTGAAGGCTAAGAAGCCAGATTTCTTCCTTTTTCAGCGCCGCAGGCGAAAATTTTTTGTATTTTTATCACCAAAGGGGAAATTTTTTTAGTTTTTGGGGTATATTTTGGCTTAAAAAATAGGTAATGTTTCGTTAACGAAACACAGGTGTTTCGTTAACAAAACGAAACGAAACAAATTAAAAAGTGTTTCGTCACGAAACGAGACGAAACAGGAAAAAACATAACGAAACTAACGAAACAACGAAACGAAACGAAACGTTTCGCCCACGTCTGTTCGGGATCGTTGGGGATCCTCGTTTGCCGGTCAGGGCATGTCGTGGTCCGGGTCTTGGTTGACTTTTGGGTCGGGGTTAGTGGTCATGTGCGAGAATCAATTATCTCCTGGCGTTGGGAATATAATTATTTTCTCTTGGCAAAATGTATTTTTATAATTTAATCATGGATGTTTAATCACAGAAATTAGGGAAAATTAGGGACGGATATCCGCGGATTTGGAGCATCATATCCGTATCCATCCGTATCCGTCCGATTTTTAAAAAAACACTATCCATATCCGTCCGTATCCGCGGATACCCGCGGATATCCGGATATTATCCGTATCCATGCACCAGTCTGGTTAAGGCTAATGGAAAAAAATATTAGGAAAAGATCAATCAATTTGGTAGGCTTATAATGAATTCAAATTTTTTGACGATATAAATTAGGAGGAAAGGTAATTTTTTAGGAAACATTTTTCTCCTCTAAAAATTTTTTGAAGTAATTTTTAAAAAATCAACTAAATAAAAGACTTCTTTATTAATTAAAAAATTTTTCAGGTCCTATGCAGTCTTAGCAATTACATTACCTTTGTTATATTATCTGTTTGGTAACAGATGATTTTTCTGTTTTTTCGCATATTTTGAATAGAATTTTAATTCCAAATTTTTTTGAGTTTATTTTTTGCTCAATAAAATTCTATTTTATATTTAATTTTTAATAAATAAATTTTTGAACCTGTTACAAATTAGTATGCTCAAGTATTTGGCTAATTATTTATCAAAAATTGGGTACTTTATTAATATCCCACCCCCACCCCTATTTGAGTCTCAGATTAATTTCTTTTTTTTACTGTTAGTCATTCTTTCCCTCATAAATTTTAAGTAAATGGCAATGTAGAAGGCTACCAGAGCTGTTTCGAAATTTCGTTTTTCGATTTTCGAGGTTTTTTTCCTTTCGATTTCCGATTTTCGAAATTTTGTGATATTTTCGATTTCCGAATTTTTGAAAAAATTTGAATTTTTGGCGCCAAAGTTGATGATTTTTGGCTTATCGGCCTTCATAAATTTTCAAAATTTTCGCCTGCGGCGCAGAAAAAGGAAGATTTTTGGCATAAGGATCCTCCGAATTTATAAAAATTTTTGCCTGCGGCGCAGAATAAGGAAGATTTGTGGCTTAAGGATCCTACAAATTGTTCAAAATTTTCGCTTGCGGCGCAAAATGGAGGAATCCGTGATCTCTTAACAATATTAGGTACTATCCGTTTATATCCCCGCAATTCCGCAAATGTTTGTCCGCACTTTTTTCATTCTTTCTCCTCATAAAGTATTAGAAACGGTCAAGTTAACACCCATTTTTTCTTCGCCTCTTTCTCCTCTCATTAAGATTAAAATGTTCAAGTAAAAATAGAGGAAGACAAATTTTCGCTTATGGAAAAATATAAAGGTAAAAATAATAGAATGTTTAGAAATTATTTCGGTAATAGTTTGTTTGGTACCCCCCCCCCCCTGAACCGAAA